GCCAGATGTAGTTTCTTTGCTAGAGCAGATAATATGGTCTCTGGTACATAGTATGCAGCATTGATCTGTCGAACGTGTACTTTTCTGTCTCAATCAGGAAAGATTAGAAGCAGTTTGCTCCAGGGCCATGTTAACTCTTCCACCGTCTGTTGTAATTTAGTCTGAAGACATCTGGACCACCTGGACACAGTGTAAAACATCATACTGATTCATTACATTGGTGACATCATGCTGATCTGGTAGCATGAGTAAAAGGGTGCCAGCATGCTGGAGACTTTGGTAAGACACATGCACTCCAGAGGGAAGGAGATAAACTATAAAAATTGAAGTACTTGCCAACTCAGTAAAGTTTCTCCACAGCCCATTGTCAGGTGAAAGCCAGGGCATTCCCTTCATAATAAAGACAGATTGCTGCATCAGACATCTACTACTATAATGAAGGAAGCACAATGACTGTTAAGCCTTCTTAGGTTTTTGAGGCAACACATTCCACACCTAGGAAAACTGCACCAGCCCATATGGAAAGTACCAGCTTTCAGTAGGACTCGGAGTAGAGAATGGCTCTGCAGCAAATCCTGGCTTCAGAGCAAGTAGTAAGTTTGCTTGGGACAAAAATTCCAGCATACTCCATAATATCTGAGATATTAATAATAGAAGATACAGTATGAAGTTTGCAGCAAGTCCCAGTGGAAGAATCACAATCCAGGCACTTGGGGTTATGGAAGAAGGTCACACCATCTGCAGCAGAGGATTATGCACATTTTGTAAAACTGCTCCTAGAATGCTATGGGGCCCTGAGGGAGCTGAAATGCTTGACCTTGGGATACCAAGTGCCCATCCTGAGTTGGGAAGAAGTAATAAAATAAGATGGGCCCAGTAGCAATCCATCATAAAATGGAAATGGTACAGCTGAGGCTGATCATGAGCAGAAAGTGACACAGCTAGGGACATGAGCAATGGGTCCAGAACCCCATGGTATCCATTTTGTCCCATCATGGCATCTACTATGTAGCAGTGTCCCTCCTCAGCTCACATGAATGACCACATGGGCCTCCCATTCAACCAGCTGAAAGAGCAGGAAAAACTCCTAGCTTGGACTATGGGAAGGCTGATTCAATATATGGGTGCAAAACCAAAAGTGGATGCTGTCTTCACTATAGCCTTATTCAGGGGTCACTGTGAAAGACAGCAATGAGAAACTGTGTGACAAATCTTCCCAATGGGCAGAGCTTGGAAGGTACACCCGGTCATTTACTCTGTGCATAAAGAGCAGTGGCCCAAAATCAAAATGTACAAAGATTCATGGGCAATAGTGAATAATCAGGGAGCTGGAAGCAGAAAAATTAAAACATTAGAGACGATGAAGTCTGGGGAAGAAATATGTAGATGGATGCGTGAGAGTGGGCACAAAGTGTGAAGATTTTTGTTGTACATTAATGCCCAATGAAAGCACTGATGTGGTATGGACACCAAATAACCAAGTGTTTAAAATAACTTGACCAGTTGACATTCACTGGTATGATAGGCAGAGAGATGACATGGCCACAGTTGCAGAGATGGAGGCTTTGCATGGGTCACGAAATATGGACTCCCATGTACAAAGGCCAATCTAGTAATTACCTGTTTTGCATGACCCATCTGCAGGCTACAGACAACAACACTGAGCCCCCAGTATGGCACTATTCCTTAAAAAGACTGACCAGTTACTTGGCAGCAAATGGTCTACCTAAGAATTGGTCAGGAAGAAACAATGATTTTTGTCACAGGAATAAATAGACACTTAATCTGGGCAGGGACTTGCCTTTCCTGCCTGCAGGGTCTCAGCCAGCACCACTATCAGGTCACTTATAGAATGCCTGATCTAAAGACATGAAACAACTTAGTATCCAACCAGGGAACCCATTCTACAGATCCACTGGTTATGTCATACACTGTATCATCTAGAAGCTGCTGGCAAAAAAACAGAGTGTTGCCATGGTGTGCTGAACAAACAGCTAAAGCACTAGCTCAGAGGCAACACCTAGCAAGGATGGGGGTACCATCCTCCAGGACATACATAAATGTTGAATTACAGTCTTTTATACAGCACTATGTCTCCAAGAGAAAGAACACATAGGTCTAAGCACCTGGGGGTAAAAGCAGGAGTGGCTTCACTTACCACCACTCTCAGCGACACACTGGAGGTGCCCACAGCTCTGGATTCTGCAGTGTTAAAGGTCCTGGTCTCCAGAATGGGTGCATTCTTGCCAGGGGAAGAGGCTGCATGGAACCACAAGCTACAGCTGCCACTTGGACTCTTCAGGAGCTGTGTGGCCAGGAACCGCAGGCAAGAAGAGGAATCACCATCTTGTCAGGGTAATTAATTCTGATCAGCAGAAGGGACCAGGGAAATACATGGAACCCAGGGTACCCACTGGGTGCCTCTTGGTAGCTCTTGCCTAATTGTGTGGCAAATGTAGTGACATAGTAATGGAGGCTATACACAGGTAACGTTACCTGGAGTTCAGACCCTTCAAAAATGATGGTTTGGGAAACACCATCACATGAGCCACTGAGGCCAGCAGGGAATGAAGAATGTTAGAACAGATGATAAAGACAGGAGATAAGAATATCAGTTGTGGCCATGGAACCAACTATAGTCATGGAAGCTACAGTTCATCCCTCTAACCTCTCTCTTGAAAGTTCCCCCTAAGGAAGAGAGGCCCACCAGAGCCCTGAGGGAACTGCTCCCCAAATGTGCTATGAAGTAGATCTATATGGCACACAAAGTAAACTGTGGCAGATATGGAGATGTGTCAATTGGATCCTCCTTCAAGAAAGGATTCATTCCACCGATTCAAGGGGTGTGGTTAGCTGATAGTCCCCAGCTGTCTGTGACTTCAGAGATTTTCCTCAGACTATGTTTTTCTCAGGGTTGTCCCCAGTCAGTAACTAAGTAAGGCCTAACCATTTCCATTAAGTGGGGGAACTTCTTTAAGAAATACTCATCGCATCAGAGAAATAAACTAATACCACAATGAAATATCACTTTACACCTGCCAGAATGGCTATCATCAATAAATGAACAAACAAGTGTTGGCTAAGATATGGAGATAAGGAAATTCTCATGTACGGTTGGTGGGAATGCCGAATGGTGCAGCTACTATACAAAACAGTATGGAAGTTCCTCAAAAAATTAAAAATGAAACTGCCTTATAACCAGAGATTCCACTTCTGGGTATATATTCAAAGGAACCCAAAACATTAATTTGAAAGAATATATGCACTCCTGTGTTCATTTCAGCATTATTTACAAAAGGCAATTACCCATCAATAGACAAGTGCAGCCCTGGCTGGGTAGCTCAGTTGGTTAGAATGCTATCCCAGTACACCAAGGTTGTAGGTTCCATCCCTGGTCAGGGCACTTACAAGAATTAACCAATGAATGCACAAAGTAGTAGAACAACAGATCAATGTTTCTCTCCGCCCCTTCTCTCTAAAATCAATAAATTATGAAAAAACAGATGAGTGGATAAAAAAGTAGTGATATATATCTACACATACATACAAGGGAATATTACTCAACCACAAAAAAGAATGAAACCTTACCATTTGCAACAGCATGGATGAACCTAGAGGTTCATCCAGTATGCTAAGTGAAATAAGTCAGTCAGAGAAAGAAAAATACCATATAACTTCATTTATAAATGGAATCTAAAATAAACAAACAAAATTAAAACAGATTCATAGATAAAACAGACGATGGTTGCTAGAGAGGAAGGGCAATGGGAGACTGGACGAAAAAGGTGAAGGTATTAGGAAGTACAAATTGACAGCTACAAAAATAGTCATGGCGGTGTAAAGTACAGCATAGGGAATATAGTCAATAATGTTGTAATAATTATGTATGGTGCCAGGTGGGTACTGGAAATATCTGGGAAAACACTTTGTAAAGTACATGACTGTCTAACCACTATCTGTACACGTGAAACTAATACAAAGTAATAGTGAATGTAAACTGTTAATTGAAAAATAAAAATTTAAAAAAAGAAAAAAAAAGACACAATTTTGCTCTGGATCTCCAATGCTGCTTCAGTCCGTTTTCTCTCACAGGCATTATACCACCCCCACCACCTCGCCATAAATTTTGGCATTCCTGACTTCTTTTCAGTCTCTCCTTCTGAGAAAATGTAACTAGAACAGTTGTGCATCAGGGCCCTGAACTCAAGTTGTTCCCTGCTCCCAACCTGGGACATCTGACCTAATTAATCAGACTATCTTCTCATATATAAAATTAAAGATATTTCTTTCATACCTACTTTATATGATTATTATAAAGGTAGAATGAATATGTGCAGGAAAATGCTAAATAATTTGAAAGTTGTTATGTGCACTATTACAGTTTTTATTAAAAGTCCTAAAGATTTAAAGCATTTCCCAGAATACCTAAAAATTCACAATAGTTTTTAAAAATTCAAACAGATCATTGTTTTCAAGCCCTTTCAAGGCTAGTATGGTTATGTGGTTTTTCGGTAGCTTTACTTATTCACAGGGAGTAATTTATACACTCAGACATCTTGTTTGACAATCAGATATGGACCTAAATAAAGAATTGTAGAGTATTACAGTAGCCTGTCATGGGAATTTTGGTTTGTTTCTTTTCATTTCGAGAGTAACGAGAACGATCGAGACAACCCTTTTGACAAAACACAGTGACCAGAGTATTGAAGGAAAACATTTAACACCAGTGTGTCCACCAACCAATTTTCTTTAGCACTACTGTGATAAGACAATTTTATGTCTGTGGATAAATACTGCAATACATGTAAATAAAAAATATTTCCTGTAAGCATATTTTTTTATTGTTCATTCTTACTCATACCTATCTACAATGTATTACAAGAAGGCACCTAGTGATCCTGCCATCACATGCTTGCCCCTGCCCTCCCCCCAGCAGCCACCTACTCCTCCCTAATGTCATCACTTTTTTTTTTTTTTTTTTTTTTTTTGGTCTTGCCTCAATGAGCTGCACTGTGCCTGGAAGCAAGTGCAATACTAGTCGGTGTACAGCATGGACAAAGTGAGCTCCAAGACCATATCCCTACTCTAAAAATCCATTTAACATGCTGTCCTTGATAGAGGACATATCAAATGTTAAACTGATAACAACAGATCCCTACTGCTTGATCTTAACCAAAAGGCCGAGAAGGGATCATGTCATCACTTTTTATCAAAAAAACTTTTAGGAGTAACTTTTCAGTAGAAAAGATGGAAAATTTTTCTATAGTGTGCTATTTGCTTAGATGGTGATACAGATTTGTGATAGGTTCTCTTTCTTCCTATCTTTTGAAAGGTGTATCTCTGATTTGCATTTGAGAGTTGACACAGGTTCAGTTACAAGCTTTGAAAATATACGGTTTCCCTGTAAAGAACTGCAAAAAGGTTTAGAAACCAGTCCTGTTCCCTTTTTTCCATCCCGCCCAACACGCCCCTCCTTTTTTTTTTTTTTTTTTTTTTGCCAAGGCAGATCTATAGGTCTGAAATGTCCTGCTGAGTGACAGGGCTAAAATTTTTGGCAGTTTTTTCAGAGATCAGGACAACACCGAAGTAAAAGTTAGCTGAAAATGCACGGTTGATTCAAATGGTTTTGCATATACTTTAGAAACATGTATAAAAGTAAAATAACAAATTCTTACTGTATTTTACAGTGGATGCAGAATACCTATAAAATGAATTCGACACTAATAGGAAAAAGAATGCCAATGACATACACTGGATCATAAGATCCACTAGCAATTTTAAGACTGTGTTTCATCATAGTTTAGTATGAATAACAAAATTCTTCAGGTTTACATGATGTTTTTTTTCGCATGTGTATTTTGAGAACTCCGATCACTGAATACAACTTCAAAAGGGCTCAAGCCAGTGATCTGAAAGTGAGGTTCACATTAACTACACAGTGATGAAATCTGAAGCAATAAATTACCGGGAAGCTTAAATGTAAATATTCATGCTATTAGGACATGACTGAACTTACTTTTATTTTATCTTGGAGTTTTATTGGGTCGTCTTCAGACATTATCCTTTCATAATTAAATTGTGTCTCAATAGTGTTAGGGTAGAATCCCATAGTGTAAGGAAACCCAAAATGTTTAGCACATGGTTCGCGTAATGTTCTGGGTATCGCATTTCTTCCCAATACAGGACTTCTCAATCCCAACTCCTCCCGCCGCCCTCCGCGGGGCAATGGAGGCGAACTTACAGTTGAGGGCCCCTGAGAATACCTGGAGTTCGAAAAGTCTCAGTTCCTGAGCCTTTGTTCCTTTTTTCCCTGGGGTTCGGAGGCCTGAGACCTGAGGCCCGAGGCCCGCAAGGCACACCTGTCACTCTCTCCCCTTACGACCTGGCAATCTGCGAGTCACCAGCTCCTGCCTGTGCGAGACAGAGGCTGCGCAGACAGAAGGAAAGAGACTTGAGCGGCTGCTCTTGGGAGGAGCTGGGAGACGCTGAGGGGCGGTGCCTCGCGCGAGCTCGCGGGCGGGGTGTGCGCACCGCCGCCGTCGCGTCACCAGCGTGCGGCACGTGCCGGTGTTTACGTCCCTCCAGGAGCCGCCGACGTCAGCAACTGAATGGTAACATTGTGGCGATACTGAGGCTCAGAGTTTAGGAGACCCGTCCATCAGTCAGGCGGCTCCGGGCGGTCGGGAAGAGGAGGAGAGAGATCGGCGCCAGCGAGCAGCAGAGATTCACACGCAGCCGGCCCCAACCGCCCACCGGCCTGCTCGGCCCCGCGGGATCCACGCCTTACCTCCAGAGCGCCATAGACGCAGCACCGCGGCCTCTCGCTGGGGGCGGCCGGGGCGGGCGCGGGGCGCTGCCGCAGCGCTGGGCTTGTAAACAGATCCGGCCGCACGTGACCATGTGAACTACCTGCTCCAGGGACGCGTATTGTCTGTCTTTCCCGCGAGCTGCTCCACAAAGGAGTGCGGTGGATCTGAGTGCGCAGGGACAGGCAAGCAAGCGAGGAGAGCCGGTTGGGACGCTAAGATGGCTGAAGGCGCCCGGCGAGGGTGATCGGGGGGCGCGGCGCAGCCAGCCGGTGAGTCCTCAGGCGGGTAGGACCAGCGTCGCCTCCCCGGCGGCCTGGCGCGGGAGCCACCATGTCGTTTGCGCTGGAGGAGACGCTGGAATCGGACTGGGTGGCGGTGCGGCCCCATGTGTTCGACGAGCGCGAGAAGCACAAGTTCGTGTTTATTGTGGCCTGGAACGAGATTGAGGGCAAGTTTGCCATAACCTGCCACAACCGGACCGCCCAGAGGCAGAGGAGCGGCTCCCGGGAGCACGCAGGGACGCGAGGGGGCGCCGAGTCTGGCGCAGCTGCGTCCGACGGGACCCGGGGTCCAGGCAGCCCGGCAAGCAAGGGGCGGCCGGAGGCCACTGGTTCTGGGACTCTGGGGAGGAGCCCAGGGCCCCGAAGGAGCCCGGCCTGGGCAGAAGGAGGCTCTCCGCGGAGCGCGCGCAACGTTCGGGGGGACTCACTGCTGCGGAGTTCTGCCGGCAAAGGGGCGGACAGCCCTCTCAGGAGCCCAGTGCGGGCCAAGTCCAGTCCGGTCCGGAAGGGATCTGAAGCCAGAGATGTGGCGGGGGTCGCCACTGCGTCAACCCCGCCGGCACTCAAGGAGGCCCCGGTGTCCTCTGTGCGGATAGTGAGTGCCTGCGGGGCGGTCTCCGAGGAGATTGAGGTGCTAGAAATGGTGAGGGAGGACGAAGCGGCTCTGGCATCCCAGGCGCTCCCGGACACGGAGCAACAGCCACCCGGTGAACTGGAGTCCGCGGCCGAAGAGTGCAGCTGGGCCGGGCTCTTCTCCTTCCAGGATCTGCGCGCTGTGCACCAGCAGCTGTGCTCTGTGAACTCACAGCTGGAGCCGTGCCTGCCTGTCTTTCCCGAGGAGCCCTCGGGCATGTGGACCGTGCTGTTTGGGGGCGCCCCTGAGATGACCGAACAGGAGATTGACACACTGTGTTACCAGCTCCAGGTCTACCTGGGCCACGGCCTGGACACCTGCGGTTGGAAGATCCTCTCCCAGGTACTTTTTACTGAGACCGACGACCCCGAGGAGTATTACGAAAGCCTTAGCGAGCTGCGCCAGAAGGGCTACGAAGAAGTGCTTCAGCGAGCCAGGAAGCGCATCCAGGAGGTAAGTTTGGGCTTCTGTCAGTCATAGCTTTTTGTTACTCAGTACCAAAGGCTGGAGCCTTGGTCTAGGCTGTGCACATTTGGGACACCTGTTTTTCCAGACAAGGGAAAAGAAAGACGGTGGGTTCCTGTGACCTTTCTCTCTCTTCATTCCTTTCAGTTAGTGGTAGGAAAACTGGCTTTCCTGAAGACCTTTGGTAAGTTTTAAGATTTCCTCTTTCATTTATTAGATAGATTCTATATAATAAGAGCTCTGTTTACATACTGTCACTAAGTAAGATTAAAGCCACTTTGAAAAAGAGATGGCCCACAAAGGTAAGCTAAATGAGCATTTCTCTTTGCCCATAAAGCAATAACTGCCCAGGTGTTAACTCTGGTGTCATTTCTTGGTGTCATGCTCATTTACTAAAAATAGTTTCTCTTATGAATCAAAGTTGGTCCATCCTTATCTCCATATATAGTTTGTCAACTTGGGCAAATTTTAAATATTTGTTCTCCAAACAAGTGGCCTATCCAAATGAAAAAGTACCAAGTGATAATCGGATGTAAATGTATTTTTAAAGGTTTTATACACACTTTAGGAACATCTCAAGTCTTTACAGATGGTTCATGTTTCACTCCTGTTTTAGGGGGAAAAAATGCCCTGGGCAGGAATGTTTAGTATACTTTATACTTAAAAGTAGTGAAGTATAGTGCAAAATGGGGGAAAGGTTGGACTGGGTATACTAAGGGTGCTCTACAGTGTGTAAGAGATGTAAAATTTGAGGTCATGTCTACTTAACAACTCTGAAATAATTTTACTAAAAACGTATTTTAAGATATACTCAGCTTCCTCTAATGGACACTAAAACATACTTTCTCAGAGCAATTTTTTATTCTTAGTATTAGTACCAAATGAGGTTGGACTTAGGGTGGGAAAGTGCCCCATTTTATGGTGTTTATATTCCTGACATTGTGTTGTCATCTGTTAACTTTGTCTATATTTGTATAATAGTTGAATCCTACTGTTAAGGCTAAGAAGCTTGAGCCTCCTGGATTCTTAAATATACTATTTTTCTCTGCTAGACTTGAGGATTTAGGAAATGAACTGTTTCTCACTTATTCCACAGTGCTCTCTTAAAACTTCCTGAAGCCAGGTTTTCATTCCTTCCTATTTGTTTATGTTATGCTAAACATCACCCACCTGTATATATGAGTCTAGAGTTCAGGATGTTCTTATTGTCTTTTCAATCATCTCCTTTCTGGAGTCTGTGTTTTATATCTTAGATTGTTTTTGGAAGGAAGTGACAGAACTCTTAAATGGCTACATATATTTGCTCTGGAGTTTTGCTAATATTGATCTGTATTCCATTGAAATTGGAAAGACAAAGTTAATGCTTCTTTCTCTTACTCCATTTACAGATACATATTATATTGTTGTTTTCTTTTAACTTTTCATTTTTTTAAACCCTAAGTCATGTAAGCGTGACTGGTTTTAATTTTATTGATACTCAGAAAAAATTATTTTGTCTGGGTTAATTCAAATTGGGTTAAAAATTAGGGCTGCCAAGGGTATAGTTAATTAACAGTTTTCTAGAACTCTTTCATGGGGGTGGTTACATTTTTTAAAAAATACCTTTTACTAATTAAGTTTATATTGACCATAATATTTTATTCTTTTTAACAAAGAAAAATTTAAACCTTTAAAGAGGATTTTGTGTTTTTGTATTTAAAATAAATAAAACATTATAAATTCATTGAACATTAAATACATAAACTTTTGGTGCCTAATTTAGTTATCCTGAACAGTATTTAAAAAAATAGCAGTTAAGGAAATAAACAGGTTTAGTTGTAATGCCCACCCTGATCTCTACTGGAAGGTTCTGTTGAAATTATGAGGCTCAGTGTGGGGAAAAGGTGATGTGATTAGTTAGTGATGTCTGCCGTGGACATGATAATGGAGGTGTATAGCATACCAGGCATGTATCTTTTTGTTCCCCAGCTGCTTAAATTCTTTGCTATCTTAATAGTTTGCAG